TCCCTCCTGACTTTCCGAAAAAGAGTAAAAACTTGGCTCTTCGAGCAAGCATTCAGAACCCCGGAGTAAGCAGACAAACTAGAGTTGGAAATTGACCCAGGAACGGCCAAGACAATGTAAATGGATGAAGATTTGAACAGACGACATAGTTTCTTTTTAAATTGTTATTATGCACTGTCGTTTATGTTTAATTGCACTGAATGTTTTTGCTTTATCAATGTATGTATTTTGTTTCGGCATCGAATTGTGCCGACTGTGTATACCGCCCTGAGTCGCCTTCGGGCTGAAATGGGCAGGATAGAAATAATGTAAATAAATAAATAAAATAAATAAACTCCCACATTTCCTAACAGCCTACCGGCTGTTAGGAATTGTGGGAGTTGTAGTCCAAAACACCTGGAGGGCTGGAGTTTGCCCATGCCTGGATTAGCAACAGGACTCTGGTAGTGTAAAAAGTATCTTTGCCATGCATTGCCCTTTGTATATCCTTAGGCTTTTATCCCAGCTGCAACCTCTCTGGTTCTGGTTTGGGTGTCCCCTTCGGAGACACTGGCATCGACCAATCTGTTTCTGGTGAGACAGCTTTCTTTTGCTCTTAGTGGCAGCCACTCGGGATTCCAGCATGTTAGAGAAGCCAAGAATGACACCGAACTATGTGAATTACACTGTGTCTGAGTCATCAACAGCAGTCTGCACTCTGCCTGCCTTCTTGGCCAGACACTTGAGGATGATGGAGTGGCACAAAATCACTCTCATTAGGTAGAAGCACATCCACAAAAAATGGAACAATCAATTTAGCTGAAAAAGCCAGCAACCTCAGGAAGCTGTGAAGTGCCATGTGGAGGGCAGCATTTCATGTTATCTGATCACAGCCTCATTCCTGAAGTTGTGTTTTCTTAGATAAAAGGGAATGTTTGTGTGCGGTGTTGGTTTTGGTGGAGGGGAAGCAGGGAGGGGACTCAACGGGACCATGAGATTGGCAGCTGAGCAGGCAGGATTTTTAATCCGTACTGTATGCCTGCCAGTTTCCCACTGAAAATGCCCCAAGCCAATTCCTTTTCGGCTGGTCTCCCTTCCAGGTTGGGAGCAGGGGATCCTTTATAATTGTGTAGCAAGACAAATGGGAACAGGGGGAATGCAGAGGTATTGGGAGAATTTCCCAACTATGGGGTTCTTTTGGAAAGTTAGCCGTGCCTCATTGCTCCACATTGTGATTAACCAATAAATAAATCAGTAAATAATAATAATAATAATAATAATAATAATAATAATAATAGTAATAATAATATCCCACTTTTTCTCTCCATACAGAGACTAAAAGCAGCTCACAATAAAAAGCATTACAATACAACTTCAGATATACAAATATTAAAACAGTATTAAACCTCATTGGGCACTGTTTTGAGTTGAAACCTTGTTTATATGTTACTAGCTGTACCTGCCACGTGTTGCTGTGGCCAACTTTCCCTCTCTCTTTCTCTCCTTCCTTCCTTCCTTCCTTCCTTCCTTCCTTCCTTCCTTCCTTCCTTCCTTCCTTCTTTTTCTTCCTTTCATTCTCTCCTTCCTTCCTTCCTTCTTGGGACTGTGGCACAGCTGGCTGGGAGTCAGCTGCATTAAGATCACTACTGACCGAAAGGTCATGAGTTCAAAGCCAGCCCGGGACGGAGTGAGTGTCCGACCAATTTGTGTAGCTTGCTATCGACCTTTGCAGTCCGAAAGACAGTTGAATCTGTCAAGTAGGAAATGTATTATTATTATTATTATTAACTTTATTTATACCGAAGGACTCGATGTGGCTTACAAAGGCCGAGGCCGCCGACAACAACAACATACAATACACAGTAAAATTCATAAGCAAATAATAAAACATCAAGCAAAACAATAGAACAGTAAAACAATGACACCATGACGCAATTAAAAACCTAGGGGCCGGGCCAAATGTAATGGACAAAAATTAAAAGTGCTGAACCTGACAGGTAATATATAGAGGTATTTGGCGATAGGTGCAATTTGCAGATAATCCTGAATCTCTAACAAAGTGCCTTTGGGACTTGAAGCCAGGAGTTTCCTATTCTGGGAAGGCACACTGGAACAGCCAGGTCTTCAGGCTCTCCCTAAAGACAGCCAACGTTGGGGCCTGTCTGATGTCCTTAGGGAGGGAGTTCCAGAGTCGGGGGGCCACCACAGAGAAGACCCTGTCCCTCGTCCCCACCAAACGCGCCTGCGACGCAGGTGGGATCGTGAGCAGGGCCTCTCCAGATGATCGGAGGGAGCGTGCGGGTTCGTAAGCAGAGATGCAGTCACACTTATGCGGGGAGGCAAATTTAACTAATTTATGAGGCCTTAAAAATCTCCAGCAAGCATGCAGAGAATGAGGAAGTACTTCATCAGTGTCACAAATGGTGGGTGAAGGGACAGCTCCCCTGCTGGCCAAAATAACCTCAAGAAAAGCTGGAATGTTAAATTGCCTCTGTGTCTATATATGTTGTGTGTCTATGGCATTGAATGTTTGCCATGTATATGTACATTGTAATCCGCCCTGAATCCCCTGCGAGGTGAGAAGGGCGGAGTATAAATACTGTAAATAAATAAATAAAATTCTCTTCCTCTTACCTTCCTGCCTCTCCGCCCCCCTTTTTCTTTCTCTTCCTCTTTCTCCCCTTTCCTCCTTTTCTTCCTATTCTTGGACTACAACTCCCAGCAGTCTTCCTGATTAATCCATCTACCTACCTATCTATCTCTATCTAATCTATCTATCTGGAGGATTGCTGGGAGTTGCAATCCAGGAATAGGAAATGGGAAATATGCAGGGATTGGGATGCTCTCAAAAAAATCCAAGGAGAAGAAAGCTTGCAGCTTGGAAGCAGTGCATTTGGATCATCCTCCTCTCCTAAAGGGCCTGGTCTAGGAGATGCTGGGAGCTCTGATCTAGAAGAGAGTATGGATATGCTATTATGTGTTTTGTTTGCCATGGAAGTCATTTTTTCGCATGCACTGTAGCGTCTTTTTGCTTTTTTGGCATTTTAAGTCCCTTCCGCTGTGTTTTTCAGTGTTTTGTAGATGTTTTGTGTGTATTTATATGTATATGTGTGTTTACATATATTTGTGTATATGTGTATATATGTGTGTTTGTGTATATGTGTGGATTTGTGCATGCATTGTAATGTATTTTTGTTCTTTGGCCTTTTAAGTCCCTTCTTTTTTTTCAGTGTTTTTATGAGTGATGGCCACTCATTGACCTGACAGGTGCGTTGTGTCCAAATTTGGTGTCAATTCATCCAGTGGTTTTTGAGTTATGTTAATCCCACAAACAAACATTACATTTTTATTTACATAGATTGGTTTTATCTTGTATTGTGTGTTTATTATGCATTGTTTTAGGCTGATCTATTGTTGCTAGGGAGGGAGTTCCACAGTTGAGGAGCCACCACTGAGAAGGTCCTGTGTCTCGTCCCCACCAGTTGTGCCTGCAAGAAGGACAGAATCAAAGAGCAGGGCCTTCCCAGATGATATTAATCTCCAAGGTGGTTCATAGGGGAAGATATGTTCAGAGAGGTAAACTGGTCCGAAACTGTTTAGGGCTTTATAGGCTAAAGCCAGCACTTTGAATTGTGCTGGGTAGCAGATTGGCAGCCAGTGGAGCTAACACAACAAGGGGGTTGTGTGCTCCCTGTATGCCACTTCAGTGAGCAACCTGGCTGCCATCCATTGGACCAATTGAACCCTCTGAACAGTTTTCGAAGGCAACCTCACATAGAGCACATTGCCTGGAAACAGACTGGCAGTCAGTGGAGTTGCTGCAACAGGGGGTTCACCGCTTCCTGCCTCCAGCCCAAGGGGACAACCTGGCTGCAGCTCTTTGGATGAGCTATAGTTTTTGAGCATTCTTCATATAGAGCTTGTTACAGTAATCCAAACAGGATGTCACCAAGGCATGGACCACCGTGGCCAGATCTTGCTTCTCACGGAATGGGCACAGTCGGCACACATGTTTTGTGCAAAGGCTCTCCTGGCCACCTCCCACACCTGGGCCTCCAGGTTCAGTGCTGAGTCCCCAAACTGCAGACCTGTGTCTTCAGGGGGAGTTGGACTCCATCCATCCAGCACAGGTTGGATCCCTATTCCGTGGTCTGCCTTCTGACTGACCAGGAGTACGACTGTCTTGTCTGGATTAAGTTTCGATTTGTTTGTCCTCATCCAGTCCATTACTGATGACAGGCATTGGTTTAGGGTCAGGACAGCTTCCTTGGCTTTAGGTGGAAAGGAGTAGTAGAGTTGGGTGTCATCTGCATATATGTGTCACCGTACTCCAAAACTCCAGATGACGTCTCCCAGCAGTTTCATGTATACATTGAACAGCAGAGGGGACAAAATGGAACCCTGAGGAACTCCACAGGTCAATGGCTGGGGTTCAAACAGAAGTCCCCCAGCAACACCTTCTGGGTACGGCCCTCCAGGAAGGACTAGAGCCACTGCAAGACAGTGCCTCCTAGTCCCATCCCAGTGAGAAGATCCAGAAGGAGACCATGGTCAATGGTATCAAAAGCGGCGGAGGGATCCAGAAAAACCAACAGGGACACACTCCCCCTGTCTAGCTCTCTTCGTATGCCATCCACCAAGGCGACCAAAGCTGTCTCTGTTCCATAGCCAGGCCCGAAACCAGATTGAAATGGATCTAGATAATCCATATCATCCAGAAATCTCTGGAGTTGGGAGGAAATGTTGCCCTCCAATTGAAATGGGGTGTTAAGACATGTTAAGGCAAACATCTTGAAAGATAGGTCTACCAAAAGTATTGGGCTATATCCCCAATATACACCTTGCCATGCCCACAGTGAGACCTTGGGAGAAGTTGGAACTGCTTCTATTAATGATAATGTTGGTGATAGTGACAATGATATGTTTGGAATATAGATGTGGCAATCCCATGGGATAATAGAATGAAAGACAAATATCAAGAGCTACAAACTTAAATGCAATTCTTTCTTTCTTCTCCAAAGCATCCTAGAAGCCCTCATGACTGTAACCACGATGCTGATTTCGGTTGGGGCAGTTCTTGGCAAAGTCAACCTGATGCAGTTGATCTGGATGGCCATGGTAGAGCTGGCCGTTTTCGCTGTGAACCGATGGGTTGCTGTGTCTATCATGCAGGTACAATCATCCTCTTTGCCAAAGCTTTTCCAGCTAGCAGTTCTCAGAATCCAGCATGTTAAATTAGTGGGAAGGTGAAGTCTAAAATGAAACTTTGCCAAAGTACTTGTGAGATAAAGGCTAGGCAGGAACATGGATTCAGTAGTGACCACCACAATCTTATCTTTCCCAAGTCATTTTATTTTGAAAAAGACGTTTCTTTTGTGATTTGATCTCACGAGTAACTGCCCCTTCATTACACTCTTTTCTTTAACTGATGGAAGAGTTTCAGGGCAACATTCTACAGATATTATTCCACATGTTAAGAGAGCTGCCAATCCCTGGTGCCTTTTATAATTACCTCTTTACACAAGGAAAGCCATCCTGGTTCAGACTAAAGGTCCATCGAATGTAGTATCAATTTCAACCCAAGTCAACAACCAGCTAGAAGCCTGCAAACAGGGCATGAAGTCAACTAGAACTCTCTTACCGCTGTTTCCTGGCAACTAGCACTTGATGGCTTATTACCTCTGAATCATAGAGGTCCTAATTAACCATTGTGCCATTGATAGACACTCTGCCTTCCTTGAATTTGTCTGAACCATGTCTGATCATACAACAAGCTTTCTCAACCCAAGAACATCCAACTGTATCCTGGCTGGGAATGGGGGGATTTCTTATCTACTACATCTAGGCCACTGGTCCCCAACCTTTTTTTTTTTTTACCAGGGACCACTTTGACCAGGGACCTCTCTACAACATTAGTACCAAAAGAGTTGCAAATCTGTTTTTGGTAAACTATAGATTTTGGTTTGGTTATTTGGGGTGCTGATTCAGAAAATTGCACTGGATAGACCACATCAGCTCTAGTTTCCGATACAGAACATATACCATCCAGTATTTATTTATTTATTTATTTACAGCTTTTATATTCCGCCCTTCTCACCCCGCAGGGGACTCAGGGCGGATTACAGTGTACACATATATGGCAAACATTCAATGCCAATTTTTGACATACAAACATATACAGACATACACAGAGGCTATTTAACTTTTTCTGGCCGCCAGGGGAGCTGTCGCTTTCATCGTCCATCTGCGACGCTGATGAAGCACTTCTGCATTCCCCGCATGCTTCCCCGCTGGAATGCTTTGCTGGAGTCTTCTTTATGGCCTCATAAATCAGTTAATTTAGCCTCCCCACACTTTAAGGTGGTACCTTATTTTCCTACTTGACAGATGCAACTGTCTTTCAGGTTGCAAAGGTCGACAACAGGCTACACACAATTGGTTGGAAACCCACTCCAACTCGGGCTGGCTTCGAACTCATGACCTTTTTGGTCAGAGTGATCTTAATGCAGCTGACACTCAGCCAGCTGCACCACAATCCTGGTGCCAGTAGTCACCATCTGCTTGCCCACAGAAAACCATATTTAAGAAGCCTCGGCACTATAAGAGGGTTTCATGAGACCAGTTGGTCTTGTTGCAATGGTGTAGTAACGGTGACGTTGCGGACGATATTTTATTTCTTGTGGACCACTGGTGGTCCACGGACCACAGGTTGGGTAACACTGATCTCAGCAATGGTTCCCAAACTTTTGTCCTCCAGGTATTTTGGACTTCAGCTCCCAAAAATACCAGACAGTTTACCAGCTGTTAGGAATTGTGGGAGCTGAAGTCCAAAACACTTGGAAGACTAACAGTTGGGAACCACGGATCCAAGGCCCTTCCACACAGCCATATAAACCAATAAGGTGTCTATGGACAATGCTGGATCTTCGGCTTACAAATGGAGATGAATACCAACCCCCAGAGTCGGACACAACTGGACTTAATTTCAGAGAAAAACTTTTACCTTTACCTATGTAAAATGTGCATGCATGGAAGACTTTGGCTAGAGTATTCCAGTTTGTAGAGGACTGTTAACACCAACGGTTCTCTCTGAGGGTGCATCTCCACTGTCTATTTAATGCAATTTGATACTAGTTTAACTGCCATGCCTCAGTGCTGTGAGATTTGTAATGACAGGAGCACTCTTTAGAAGAGAAGACGAAAGACATTGTAAAACGACAGCTCCTATGATTTGAGTGACAGCAGCCAAAGTAGTGTAAAATGGCATCAATTCTGCATTGTAGATGTGCCTTGAGTATTTATCTTTAAGTAGAAAAATAGAACTGAGTCTTTTGGGATGACAGTTCTCAGAATTCCCCAGCCAGCACGGGTGAGACTGTTCTGCCAGTTGCCTCCCAGACTCGGCCTTCCTTTGTTTTCCTGGCATTTTACAAAATTGGCAAATCCAGTCCGCCAAAATAATGCTGCTGGTGAGTGATTTGAATCTGCAAAGATGTTCTCAGATGGTGGCCTGTCTCCAGTTAAGTCCTAGGGTTCGATAGGTACGTTCAGAAGAGCCTAAAAGTCGTAAAAAACTTCAGCAATATCTGACAAAGCATTTTTTTTCATACTCTCCACAGATTACCAGCCACATGAGCTTGATGCATGTACATTTATTTGGTGCCTACTTTGGCCTGATGGTCTCCTGGATCCTTTACCATTCCTCTCTGAGCTCGAGAGTTGAAAAGGAAAGCTCAAAGCCCACTTCGGATACATTTGCAATGCTGGGTAAGCTGTTTGGTTAGCCTACTAAAGCAGGGATGAGAAATCACAAAAATAAAATAATATTCTTTAATCTGAATCAAATATGATCCCAGAAATACCCCACTCAAGCAGTTTTTGAGGCCAAATATTTGGGTACTTGACATACAAGGATATACTATGAAGCCATTCATTTCCTCCAGTAAGAGACACGGTACCCCAGGTCTCGGCGGTGGCCGGGAGAGCTTTTGCACAATTAAAATTTGTGCGCCAGCTGCGCCCGTACCTTGGGAAGTCTGATCTGGCCACAGTGGTCCACGCTCTTGTTACATCCCAAATAGATTACTGCAATGCGCTCTACGTGGGGTTGCCTTTGAAAACTGTTCGGAAACTTCAGTTAGTCCAACGGGCTGCAGCTAGATTAATCACCGAAGCGTCATACAGGGAACATACCACCCCTCTGTTATGTCAGCTCCATTGGCTGCCGATCCAGTTCCGAGCACAATTCAAAGTGCTGGTTTTGACCTATAAAACCCTATACGGCTCTGGCCCAGCGTACCTGTCCGAACGTATCTCCTTCTATGTCCCACCTCGGAGTTTAAGATCTTCTGGGGAGGCCCTGCTCTCGGCCCTGCCTCTATCACAAGTGAGGCTGGTGGGGACGAGGGACAGGGCCTTCTCAGTGGTGGCCCCTCGCCTGTGGAATTCACTCCCTGGGGAAATTAGGTCATCAACATCCCTCCTGTCCTTCAGAAGGAAGCTGAAAACATGGATATGGGACCAGGCTTTTGGGTAATCTAGCAGACTGACAAGGTAATGATGACCAGAATTTGGAAAGGACTATGGTAATGCTGAATGGACTTATGGATTTTAGAACTCGGTGAACGTTGGCCACTAGATTGGCTTTTTAATTGTTATTGTATTAATTGAATGTTTTAATTATTGTGGTTATTGCTGTTATGTATTTTATCTGATGAATTGTTGGCATCGAATTGTGCCGGTTGTAAGCCGCCCTGAGTCCCCCCCAGGGGGTTGAGAAGGACCGGGTAGAAGTGCCCGAAATAAATAAATAAATACAATGCTATATTTCAGTTGTTTAGGAACACAAGCCAGAAGATACTCTTTTGCTTATATCCTGCTAGTGAGATTCCTAATCACTATAACTGTATGCCTCAGTCATATTACACAACCTGGTAACAGAATTGCAATATTGTATAGCTGTCATGATTGATATTGAAAGGGCAGCTGTTTATGATCTGGAGTGCACAGCAATGTGCAATGCACACAGTTCTATGCACAGTGGCATTGTATTCCTAATTCTGCTTTAATAATGTTTAGCTGATATGGCAATTAGACGTTGTATCGATATATCTACCTGCTTCCGTATGGGAGTTGTTGTTTGATGAGGCACCAACACTCCTTATCAGAGAAGATTAAAGACCTTGTAAAACTACAGCTTCCACAATTCCATAGCATTGTACCATGGCAATTAAAGTAGGGCCAAACTGGATTGATTCCATGTTGTAGACACACACATAGAATCACAGAGTTGGAAGAGACTACAAGGGCTTGCCATATACAATCGAAGCACTTCTGACAGATGCTCATCCAGCCATTGAGAGAATGGAAGCCCCTTCACACTCCGAGGCAGCATATTCCACTGCCAAACAGCTCTTACCATCAGGAAGGTCTTTGCTAAGGTGGAGTCTTTCCCTTCTCTGCAGTTTGAATGCATTGCTCTAGTCTCTAGAGCAGCAGAAAATGAGTTTGCGCCTTCCTCAACGTGACATCCTTTCAAATATTTAAACAAGGCCTTCGTGTCCCCGCTTAACCTTCTCTTCTCCAAACTCAACATACCCAACTCCCTAAAGATTCCCCAAAAAGCAGTCCACTTGCTTGAAACACCATTGTCATATTTCTTCAGCCTCAATATGATTTCTACTGGTCTGTACTAGTCTAGACTGGGCTATACTAGATTATACTTGGCTATACTGGGCCCATAACCCTCGTTGGGTTAGTAACAAAAAACCCTCCTCATAAATGTACAGCAGAGTAACTTATCAGCAGCACCATGGCCCAGCACCAGTAGCTCAAAGTGATAAAAAAACAAAAACACAGAGACCAATGTTATCTCTTTCTTAGGAGACTTTTCTTTGTAGTAAAATAATATAGTTGCACTATTTACAATATCAAGGTTTCCACAACACAAATAAAGTCCTTTATACTTCCTTCTTTGCTTCCATGATGGGCTTCTTCCTCATTCAGATAAACAGCTTTGCTCTCACAGAGGCTTCTCTCACAACTAACTTATACTGGAGCTTCACACAGTAGCTTTTTACACACAGCAGGCCTTATACTGGAGCTTTACACATGAGGCTTTACACACAAGGCCTTCAACCTGGAGCTTCTTTCAGCGACGCTTCTCACACCAAGCCTTCTCACACTTGGCCTTCTCTTAGACTAAGGCCTATCTCACACCGTGAGACCTTCTCTCACAGACTAAGGTCTACCTTACACTTACTCACAAACAGAGGTGGCCCTAGGTAATTTTCAATGGTAAGCAAACAGTATTTTGGCGCCCCCCCCCCCAACCAATCATTGATATATATTTTCTGTTTGTCGTGGGAGTTCTGTGTGCCATATTTGGTTCAATTCCATCATTGGTGGAGTTCAGAATGCTCTTTGATTGTAGGTGAACTATACATCCCAGTAACTACACTTGCCGCACTTGCTCCCTTGCCTGGCCTGCTTTGGGTCCGGAGGCGTGCCTGAAGACCCCAGCGTGTGCACCAAAAGTCACCTCTTCTCCTGACTTTCTCCTCAGCCATTGGGACCAAGAGAGAGAGAGAGAGAGAGAGGTGGAGATGCCCACCTTTCCTGAAGGTAGGCGCAAAAACAAAGGAGGGAGCGGAGGTGGGGGATACCTCCAGCCGGAGGGGCTCTCTCTCTCTCTCTCTTGGTCCCCGGGTGGAGCAGGAACGAGAGGGCTAGGTGAGGCTCAAGGGCCCGGTCCCTTTGGGAAGAGGCTCACCCGCCAGCAAGGCAAGAAAGCCGAGGCTCCCCCCGGACTGCTAGGGCTGTTGTGAGCTGAAGGGGCGCTCCTCAAGTGGCGGTCGAGGGGCATTTACAGAGGCGCCTCTGCGCCCCTGGCAAAAAAAGTGTTCTGCGACCGCTTACTTCGCGTAATGGACGAGCCGCCCCTGCATGTATAAATATGTGAGAGGAAGCCACAGGGAGGAGCAAGCTTGTTTTCTGCTTCCCTGGAGACTAGGACGCGGAACAATGGCTTCAAACTACAAGAAAGGAGATTCCATCTGAACATGAGGAAGAACTTCCTGACTGTGAGAGCCGTTCAGCAGTGGAACTCTCTGCCCCAGAGTGTGGTGGAGGCTCCTTCTTTGGAAGCTTTTTTTAAGAATATATATATATAGTGAATTTTTAAGTGTATAAAAAGTGGTGGAACAATTGGGTTGGGATAGGAAAGTGCAGAAGAAAGAAAAGATAGGGAGGCCCATAGAGTAGGGCTTCCCCACAAACAAACAAACAAACCAAAATGGGGAAAGGAAGGGGGGGGATATACCTCACTCTCTCACCCTCACACACACTCATTCGCTCGACACGTTCACGGGAAGGGGATTCTGTCCGTTTTGTAAGGCACTTCCAAGTTGTCCAGGGGTGGTTCATATTCTTCACCTTCTTGAGACTATTGTCTTTTCTTCTTGTGGAGAGAATGAAGTCCGATTATTATTTAAGTTTTGCCTTATTTTATTAAGCCAACAATTTTCTTTTCTTTGCCGGGAGGTTTGTCTAATAGTATTATCGTTGATATTGTTATTATTATTCTTATTAGTATTTTACGTTTTTATTTATTTTTATTTTATCATTAATATTATCATTTATTTATTGTTATTGTTATTACTAGTTATTCCTTTTTAACGTCCTCTAAGTATTGGAGGAAGTTAGTCCAGTTTGTTGTTTTAGTCGTGTTACTCTTTTGGGATCTTCTTTGAGTGTAGCTACATACATTAAAGAAAGTTTAATATCCAGTCTAGCATTTAAAGATGACGATGGGAGAATACTAGGAGTTTTGGTTAATACGAACGGTCTTAAAATTTTAATCTGCAATATATATGCTCCCAATGGGGGAAAGGAAAATTTATCCAGAAATTAAAAGGGTATATCTTTTGAAGCTTTTAAACAGAGGCTGGATGGCCATCTGTCAGGGGTGATTTGAATGCAATATTCCTGCTTCTTGGCAGAGGGTTGGACTGGATGGCCCATGAGGTCTCTTCCAACTCTGTGATTCTATGATTCTATGATTCTTTGGTATTGCCCCAGCTTTTGGGGAAAGCTTTTGGCTCTTTGGGACTTTGGTTTTGATCTTGGTTTGAGCCTGAGCTTTCTGAGCCTGAGTTTCCTCAGGACAAGGAGGATGATGGGTTACAGATTTCTGAACATGTGCCTTTCCAGAATAGGAAACTCCAGCATTATGTCCCAGAAGCACTTTATTAGAGTTTTAAGATTCTCTGCACATTGCACTTGCCCTGAAATCCGACATCCCACCTGTCACACGCAGCACTTTTTAATCTGTACCCATTACTTGGCCCGGACCTAGTTTCATTGTGCTATGGTGTATTGTTTTGTTGCTTTATTGTTTTGCTTTCATGTTCTTGATTTTGCTTTTGGTTGTATTTGCTATGCTACTGTTGTTGAGGCTTTGGCCTTTGTAAGCCGCATCGAGTCCTTTGGGAGATGCTAGCGGGGTACAAATAAAGATAATAATAATAATAATAATAATAATAATAATAATAATAATACTTTATTCCAGATTCATTCTTTCCCTATTATGTCCTCCATTACCGTCCTTATTTTACCATAATAGTTCTGAATTTTGATACAATCCCACCAGATGTGGGAGAATGAGCCGACCCCCCCACAGTTGTGCCAACATTTGTTTGAACCATTTCCCATAATGTGTGCAAATTGGGTGGGAGATGATTTGGGCTTCTTGGATCCTCAAATGTTTA